TGGCAGTGTTTGATCACATCATCTGTGTCCCAGACCAAGTAGTGGAGGGGTATTTGTGTAGGTTGCTTCTTTATTCAAAATGACAAGTCCTCTTAGTTCATCTCGTTAATTTTACCGTGGCATCCAACTGTACTTGGAACAGGCACGTGACAATCTCTGTAGTTAATTTTTAAATTTACTCTGGAATTTTTGACTCCTGTTGGTGAGGCACAGAGGAAACAGCAAAGAAGATGAAAAGTGCTTGAGAGTATATGACTGTATGTCCCGTAGATCCCTGCATGACACCTGCTCTCAGAAATTATTCCCCTTGTTTCAGAAGTGCCTTTATTTGTTGTTCTCCTCCCCCTCCTTTTATTTTTTTTTTTTTTTGGCCAGCTTGAGGATAAGTGAACACTGCTGTCATTGTACAAAGCAGTACAACTCAGGTCAGAGGCAGACTCATCCCTTGACCAAGCTTTTAACCTGTTGGCAGTTGTTTGTGTTAAGCAAACAAACAATTTTCTGTCAGTTTTCCCCCATATTCTCCATCGCAGGGTTACAGAGCTTCCTTCAACTGAGTTGTCTTTCATTTAATGAGTGTTAGTTTAAAAGGATTTGTGATGTTTCAGTTGCAAAATGATGTTGAATATGCAGCTGGAAAATTGAGGCATACAGAGGATCTGTATTCACTGCTGATTTACTGTAAAATCTTGGTTGAAACATCTAAAATTCCCAGTCCAAAACTCTTGCTGTTTACAGGATTCCTGAGGAAACATTCAACACTGTTCTCTGCTCTCTGATGATCAGTGATAGTAGTACTGAAGGCACAACATGGAACTGTGTCAGAGGAAGTTTAAGCTGGATATTGGGAAACAGTTCTTCTCCCCAGAGGGTGGTTGGGCACTGAAATGGCTCCTCAGGGCAGAGCAGTTGTCATGCCCCAAGGCTGCCAGAGCTCAAGGAGTGTTTGGACAACACTCTCAAGCACATGGTAGGATTTTGGGGTTGTCCTGTGCAGGGTCAGGAATTGGACTTGATGATCATATTCTATGATTCTCTGATTCTATTGTATGCAATGATCAGTAGTTCTGCATTGCTCGAGAATGGTTATTTATATGTGAAAGAGGAGCAAAGAAGGATATACGACTGTGTGGATGCTATTCCTGCTGGTACAGCCTCTCATTTGCCTGCTGTGCTGATGTGTTTATGAAATACAGGCAGGTTTATGATGCAGCTTTGCATCAGCGAAGAATGCATTGATCCCCATCTACAGCCTGCTGGGTTGATACATTCTCCTTTCCCAGGTGAGGAGCACAGACACCAGGGATTGGTGTCTGCCCAGGGTGACAAAGACTTCTCTTGAGGCTTGAGTTTATTCTCTAAGCTTTACAAAATTCCCTGGTAAGGTCTGGTTCCACGGCAGCTTCTGCTCCTGTACAAGTTAATTTATGACATGTTTTAAAGTTTGCCTTCAGATAAATGTCTCTTAGAGTCACACAGTTTTCAAATAGACAGTCCTGGATATGTCTGTCAACAGAACAGCAAGTGCCTGGCTTTGAACCACTCTTATTCAACTGTGATTTGTTTGTGCTTCCTCAGAGGCATGGAGCTTCCTGAATAATTTCTGACCCTGTGTTTGAGATGAGGGCTCTGTTAGGGAATAACACTGTGCCCACTGCTGCTTCCTGGCAACTGATTTTGTTTTCAGTTAATGCAGTGGAGTTAACCATCACTTGTTGGTTCTCCCAAAAGCTGTAAAACATTGTGGTCAGGTAGTGGTGTTGTGAGAGAGACAGAGCTCCTGTGTGCCCAGTCACCAGGAAAATAGGAAATAACATCCTTCTGCATGAACAAATGCCATCTCTGTATCAGTGCAACTGGCTTTCATGTCATCCTTGCTGAGGAAGAAGGTGTTCTTATTTTGTGTTTGTGCATGTTGTGTGAGTATTTTGCCTCTGTGGCACAGGATTGCTGACCTATACGTCACACCAAGATTTGCATGGCAAGCACTGGGCATGAGGAAAAGGGCTTCAGAGGAATCTAAACACAATACCACAATTCCTTTCCTAACCACTCTGAGACAATATGTCTTCATGCTCTAATTAAACAGCGGTTTGACATGTTTTTGCTGTTTTGATTGCCTTTGAACTTTGGCAGTGTGATAAACAAACTTTACTTCCTTTCCTACCAAAAACTGTGCTGCCTTAAAAGAGTTTATGTCCTTCATTCTGGTGTGACAGATCTTAGCATCCTCTTCTTGTGGCATTCTGTATGTGCTGATGCCAACAGCAGAGTGGACTGGCAGCTGTCACAGTGTGATGGGTGATGAACCAGGGATGCTGGAGCTCTGATGTTTCTTTGATAGCCCCTTTTAACTCACTGAGAGCTCCAAACATTAATGATTTCTCAGCCCTCAGCAGGTCACCACTGGTGGGGGTGCAAGGGCACATTCCTTTCTGATCGTGTCCAAGGCTGTGCAGACACTTCATGTGTCTGGGATACGTGATGAGTAATATGGAACAAGAAATGAAAGCAAGACAAATGGACTAAAGCTGTCAGCCAGTTCCCAGGCAGCCCGTACATGTTTCGAAGTTTGTTCATGGAGAGCAGGAGGAATATCCTTCATGTAATGTACAATGAACTTGCCCAACTTGCTAGCATAATAAAATTTGCAACAATTAGGCAGCTTGTTTTGGCTTTTAAGTTTATATGGAAGCATACTCTTAAAGACAACAGTACTTTCATTGCAGAACAGCAGTTTCATTGGTTTTTTTACCAGTGTTATTAATTGGCATATGTCAGTATTTTGGAGCTGCCCTCCATTTCAGGTGTGTAAATGCAGTGCACATTTCAACCCAAGGTTTGAAGTCTTGGCCAGTGAAAAGACTGAGCTGTAATTTCCTAAGGTGAGGGCTGGACAAACCTTCTGCTTAGGGGGAGGGACAAACTTCCAACCCTTGAGCCAGTCAGACACTCATCTCTTCCTTGAGATATCCACACTGTCTGCACAGGACTCTGTGTATTCTCTGGAACATCTGGCAAAAGCTACCATCAGCAGCTCATAAATTACAGCTCATGCCTGATGTCACAATTCCCATGTGAAAAACTGAAGACCTGTTTTAAACAATGTGACAGTGTCTCTTTTAATGTCCAGTTCACAAGCTTTCAGCCTTTTTGCTTCTATTCTGCAAGCGTGAAATAAAATTTATCTCTGGTGGCTTTTTCCATGCCTGTTGGCAGGCAGCCCAGTGCGCCTCAAATAGCAGCGAACACGATGAGCTGAACCTGTGCTTGTAGCATTTGGTTAATGTCCCCAAAAAAAGTATGGATTACATTGTTTTACCCCAGCAAGTAAGATTGGTGTTCTTCTGACTTCTTTGGAAACATTCTTGCTTTTTTTTTTGTAAAAGCCATAGACTACTAGGCCTTAATGGTAGACAAATCTCTAAGAACTGGAAAAGGGAAAATTTCTGGTTGCAGAAGTTACTGGTTTTTGTTACGAGCAGGTTTCTTAGTGGTTTCACTTACTATTTATCGCTGCAAAATTCAGTGTTGAAATCTGATACTTCTAACACACTGTGTTGTCCAGACTGAGGTGAACACAGGGACACAGCAATGGGAACAAAAATCCATTGTTTTACAACTCAGCAATTATTCTTTAGGCTCTGCAGGCACCAGCTTCTTCACTTCCTCCTACAGAAAAGAAAGCAGTACTTCAGTCATAGCTCTTTATTTGCAAACAGTGGCAAGGTTATACTTTCTCAGGACTCAGATTTTTTTCCAGCCCTGCTGCTCCTTACAGACTTCAGCCCACTGGGCACAGCTGGAGCCTTCAAGATGCTCCTAAAACATTGTAGACATCACAAGAGATTTGCAGTGAAAATTCAGCCTCTGATTAAGAGAAAAAAATTTGAGGACTGGGCAGTGAATTTTGCAATTTGAACCAGAAAGCTTTCAAATAATTATTTTCCAGCTTTTATAGCAGTGACACTGATTTTGAATGAACTTTCCTCTGCTTCATACTTTTTAGTGTTTCCTTTCTTCGGCAGCTGCACTGTGCTCCCAAATGCTGGAATGTACATGTCGCATACCTGGCGTGTAATCTGCACCTGGCATGAGTTAATTGCTATGCTGAGTTCTGTGAATCACAGCTAAATAAACAGGCTCATGTGAAGAGAAAACCCACTGGATTTGTGTTTCCAGTTGAAAAAGTATCTGCATGTTTATATTTAAATTGTTCCGAGCTCTGTTTTGGCCTGAGGTCATCAAACTACTTTGAACCAACTGGTTCCAGTGGCAGTAGCCATAGGAATGCTGGGAATACACAGGAGTGGTCTCCGCCTGTCTGATTGTGCAGGCACTAAGTGCAAACATGAGAGCAGATTATGGACACCCCACCTCAGCTCTCACACCTATCTCAAACCCAGCTGCCAAGGGGGTCTCCTGGCTAAGGGGTGACCCTGGCTGAAGGTAAACTCTTCCTTAGGTGGGAGCTGACTGGGAGCTCTTAGCTGATAAGGCCCTGGCCGAGGGGAGCTCCTGTCTGAGGAGAGATCCCGACAGAGATGCTGGGTGACAGGAGACCCTGCCTGGGATGGGCACTGACTGAGGAACTCCTGGCTGAGGAGAGATCCTGCACGACGCAAGCCCTCGCTGAGAGCGACCCTGCTGCAACGGGCGCTGGCGGGGGAACTGCCGGATGAGGGGGTATCTCGGCCTAGGCGGGCATTGCCCGAGGGGCTCTTTCCGGGCGAGGAGGACACACCCGGAACGTGCCGCAGCTCCTGGGGGTCCCGGCGGGGCCAGGTCTAAGCCCCCTACGTGCCCCGGCTCGGCCTGGCCCGGCACCCGCGCAGCCTCGGACCGGCAGCCCCGCGCCAGGGCCGCGGCCAAGGGGCGGCAGGGCGCGGCGGGCCGGGAGGGGCGCGGCCAGCGAGGCAGGCAGGGCGCGGCGGAGACGGGAAGAGCGGAGCCTGGCGGGGAGGGGCGGCGGGGCGGCGCGGGGCGGGGCGGCGCGCTGGGGCGGCAGTCGGGCGGCAGCCGCGGCCGGGGCGGGAGCGGCGGCAGCGCGGGGTGGGTAGGGTCGCCCCGTGTTGCGGCATGTCCAAGACGCTGCGGAAGAAGCGGCACTGGCTGAGCAAGGTGCAGGAGTGCGTGGTGTCCTGGGGCGGCCCAGCGGGCCCCGACCCCGATCTGCTGCGCGGCGGCGCCGAGCGCGGCGAGTTCCCGTACCTGGCGGGCCGGCTGCCCGCGGGCGGCGAGGACTCGCCGGGCCCCGCGCTGCTCTCGGGCAAGGCGCCGGCGCCGGGGGACGTGCTGCTGGAGGTGAACGGTACCCCGGTGAGCGGCCTCACGCACCGCGACACGCTAGCCGTGGTGCGGCACTTCAGGGAGCCCGTACGCCTCAAGACCGTGCGCCCAGGTGAGCGCCCTCCACCGCCGAGCTGGACCGAGGCCCTCCCGCCGCCGCCCAGCCGGCCGCGCGTAGGCCCGGCCGCGCCGGCGCCCTGGGGCGGCGGGAGGGCCGCGGCGGGGAGCGGCGCCCGGAGGCAACCGGGCGGAATCCGGGGCGCGGGTGCCCCGCTGGGAAAGTTTCCGCGGGTTCGGGAAGGCGCCGCTGCCGAGAGGGGTGATGCAAGGCAGGAGGCGGTCCCGCAGTCTCGGGGCGGCCTCAGGACGGTGCTCTCTCCCCAGTCCCGTCCCGGTAACCTCTCCCGAGGGTCCTCTCCCCGTCCGGAATGCCCGGCATCGCGATGCAGCGTTTGTGCGGGTGTGACCCTCGCGGGGCTCTGGGTGACTCAATGGCCCCTGGAGGGTCTGGTGCCTGCGTCCTCCTCTCGGAGGTGCAGGAGGTGCTTTCCGTGGTGTTTATATAATCCGCTGCTTGCAGAGGTCGAGGGTGGGTGGGGAATGGCCGGGATGGAGCACCGGAGTGCCATCGCTTCATCCTCTTAGTTTCCCACTTGGCAGAGATAAAAGCCCTGAGAACAAACTCCGGCTGTTATTTTTTCCACAGATTTGTATTATTTTTGAGTACACTTCAATTAGCTAGTGCTTGTGGTAACATCATATTTATCAACGTGCCTGTTAAATGTCAGAGTAATGCTGAATAGTGGCGCTTGCAGCTGCATGAGTTAATTCATGAGCTCCAGAGGTACCTTCTGCTTTCTTGGTCAGGCAAACCAGATGTGAGCCTGCTGCCTTATAAGAAGGTGTCTTGGGAAAAAGTATTTTTCTCTGAATCTCAATGGATATCAGTATCTCTATTATTAGGGTCTATAATATTTCTCCTAGTGCTTCTTTGCTGAGCACTTGTCTTGTTCTTCTTTGGTAACTGCTGGGTGCTCTCTGACTTCATGTAATATGTATTTTAAGTCGGGTTTTCCCTGTTTGACCACTAATGGAAAGTCATGTTCCATATAGAGATTGTGCTGTTGGTCCTGATTCATATAACTTGCTAAATTAAAGCAACAATCAAAAAAAAATCCCATGAAACAGACACACATCTTAGAAGCCTGGTAGGTTTTGAAAAAGGTCTTTATTTACAAAATTGGAAGTCCCTTCTGAAGGGAGAAAATGTAAAAGAAAAAACAGCTGCAAGTTAGATGTGAACTAAGAGGATTTTAAAAAGAGAGACAAATTGTTTAAGATAAAAAATAATCTCTTTTTAAAAGAGAAAGCTTGTGAAAGATGAAATTATAGTTCATAGGGATTTCTTGTATTTCCTATGGAGGGAGTATTCTTGTGCTGGTAATTTCTTAACAGCAATGTCAAACTGGCAAAAAATATTTAGAAGAAATAGCTGCAATTAGCAGTAGAAAATGGCAAGAGCTAGATGATGTTCATGAGGGCTTCCAGGTATTAACAGTAGTGCATTGCCTGTTCCTTAAATTCTGGGTGGTGTGAAAGGGAGAGGAGTGGGGAGTATAGAGTACTGATAAGAAAAGAGTCCAGAAGGTCAACAGAGGCTGGTTGGTGATTCCAGCAAGTTGATTAAAATTTGAGTTTTAGAAGAGAAATAGAACATTGGGCATGTGAACCAATACCACTTAATGAGGAGAGTGGGCTGCTTTCACTGGCTGGTTTAATCAAATCCGAGTATTTTGGTGAGGTGGATTTTCAAATAGGCTTTCAGTAAGGTATCACTGACTTGGATGAGTCTCTTGCTGAGTGAGCATGGTGTGGCAGTGTAGCTGCCAAAATAGAAGAGCAGAATTCTCCTGTGGCTTAGTAACTAGTTAAAACAGAGGAATGGTTTCTTCAACAGAAGAAAACTGCTGCTGGAGTCTTGTAAGGACCTGTGCTGTTTAGCATAGTCATCCAGAGCTTGTAAACCTGATGCTGGTGAGTTGTACAAAGAGAAATAGCATTTTTGTGCTGATTTTATGTAACTTTTGGAACAGATCAAACAAAATCTTCAGAACCAGCAATTTTTCCCATACTGGAGCATATGTACCGCATCAGATGATTTTTGTAGTCATTTTCTCAGTTAGATTTAGTGTCCTTGAATACAGTATTTTAAAATATACTGGGTTTTGGTTGTTTTTTGCAAGGCTGCCACAGCTGCACAATGGCAATTTTCCAGTCAGGGTATATGTAATTAGGGAAGTTGTTGACAAGGCATTCTCTGTGAAGACCTGTGACTTTGAATTTGGCTTCCCTTTTGATCCAGAGCTATCCAAACCCGCCAAGTTTTGGAAGGCGTCTGGGAAGGTGCATGTGACCATGCAGGTGGTTGAGATGAAGGGAGTGAGGGCCAGGAGCTGGTGGTCCCTGGTAGGCACATAATACGTCTGAATTCTCAAAGACATGTAATTGTGTTACTGCATTTCAGGGTCCTGTGTTTCATGATTTTCCTCAGTCAAAACTGAAACCATCATTTGAAAGGCATGGAGTGCTCTGCCAGCAGACCTTTGTGTGCCCCATGGCTCTTCAGGCTTGGGTGCTATTGGGATAGAAGTCTGAGGGAATCTAGGGTCAGGGACTGACAGTGAGGGATTTGTCTCCTTGAATCTGAAGTGTAGGGTGTTTCTAAGGTCTCGATGCCCACAATCTGCCTGTGCATTTTAAAGGGTGAGTTTGGTGCTCCATCTTCCAGGTGAAGTCTGTGCAGGTGACCTGGTGGCTTTGAACAGCAGGATCTGAACTGCTTTAGTTCAAGTCATAATATAGTCACTCCTTCATTAAAAGGCAGTAACAGCTTTAGTTGACAGTAGTAAAATCTGTGATACTTCTTGCAAGCTCATAGAAAATTTAAAATGGAAATTTCAAAATGCTGTTTAGGCTTGTTTAATAAGACATTTGAAGGATATGAATGTTAATTGGAATGCCATCTGTTAATTGCACATCACAAACAACGGACCATTTTGTTGATTGAGGAATTTGTCCTTCCCATTCTTGTCCTATCTTTATTACAGAATTACAAAATCAGCCAGGTTGGAAAAGACCTTTGAGATCATCAAGTCCAACCTATGACCTAACAGCGTCTTGTCAACCAATGCCATGGCACTAAGTGCTATTTCCAGTTTTTGCTTATGCACCTTCAGGGACAGTGACTCCACCACTCCTTGGGCAGTCCATTCCAATGCCCAATCACCCGTTCTGTGAAGATGTTCTTCCTAATGTCCAACCTGATTAGCTGAGTATCAGGGCTGAGTATCGTGTTCCATGTGAGGATGGTGTCAGGTGTGTACAGACTAGCCAGAAAATCTACAGGTCTCTTATCAATGGGGATTGACTCAGCATAGTCTGTGGAAGTCCAGTGTTGAGTATTCTGCCAGTGGCACTTGGGACTGATGCTGGGATCTAAGCTGTCTAAATAAAACTTAAATTCTAGATGAACTTTGAGATGATAACTGTACCTCTTTTTATGTGTAGTTCGTTATCATCATCTTGATTAGATGTGCAAAACAGACATACAGAGAGCTAGGGCAGCTTGTCCACTGGGATATCTGTATGGATGTGCACGCAAGCTGCCAGGGGCCAGCTCATCCTAATGAGTCCATTTGTATTTTAGCCATGCTTGGGTAGTGCTGGTTTTCAGCTAATTGCCTGCTTACATGCATTCAAACGACGGCTGCTGTGTGCTCAAGGACCTTCCCTGTCTGGTGTTACTTGGATTAGGGCATTAGCCTTGTAACTGGCCAGTGCTGCTGCAGTGTCTTCTATTTCCATTAGTGAAATAGAATGTTCTAGTCATATCCATGGTATTTGAGTGCTAGGTTCATCCTCTATAGGATAAGCTACTTTCCTTCCAGTACCTGAAAGGAACCTACAAGAAAGATGGAAGGTTTTAGATGCACAGGTCTTGATAAGACAAAAGGGAATTGATTCAAACTGTAAGAGAGTAGGTTTAGATTAGATATCAGGAAAACATTCTTTACTGTGAAGCTGGTGAGGCATTGAAACAAGGTATCCAGAGACAATGTGGCTGTCCCATCCCTGGAAGCGTTCAAGGACAGGTTGGACAGAGCTTGGAGAAATGTGGTTTAGGCATAGATGGTCTTTAAGGTCCCTTCCAACCCAAACCAGTCTGTGATTCTGTGATTACATAAAATCTATGGTTGCATGCATATTCAAGGTCCCTGAGCAACCTGATCTAGGGGTGGTATCGCTGCCCGTGGTGGGAGGATTGAAGCTGGATGGTCTCTAAGGTCCCTTAAAACCTAAAACCATTTTAGGATGATTCTGTGATGATTCAGAATTAGGCAGAAAGATGTTTGTATGTGCAAATGGGATTGCTAAAATACTCATCAGTACAACCCTGAGTGCCTTCTTCACAGCAGCATGGTAACCAAAATACACCAAAACTAGACTGGAGACTTAAAGTAAGAAAAACTACTGATATCTACGAGTTCCTCTTTCTACAGGCTGAGTTGCCAGATACTATGTAGGAAGGAATGTGTTCTCCTTCCCGATTAAGGAGTTTTGATGAATACAACTACTCTGTGTCAATTACTATGGTTTCATGTCCACTATAAGGAGAATGTGGGAGGAAACTGAGAGTCCTGTGGCTCTTCCACTTGAGAAATATTTCCAGAGCACATAGTTGGGTCCCTTGGTTTTGGAGTGAATGCATGTTGGCTCCATTGTGTCAAAACTGATCTTTAATCAAAAAATGCAGCAAGATGTAAAAGGATGAAAAGTGTACTTCGGACTTAGTTTTTTTTCCGGTGCTCCTGAAGCTGTTAAACTGTGATTTCCTATAGATTTGTTTCAGAGTCTCTGTTCAATTATGGCTGGAGCTCTTCCTCCAGCTGTTGTATTTATTTTATGTCTCCAGTCAGGATTGCCTGGCCTCTGGTGAGTGTCAGTTTGTGCTTTGATTTTTTTTCTTTCCCCAGTGGAACACGTGGAGGACATCCCAGCTCATACTGACAGAACTGATGTGATCTTTTTCCAGTCCTTCATGGAGTTTCCAAG